TATCTACCCACTCTGTAAAACACAATCTGCTTTCTCCAGTGGGCTTGTTTTCTTAATTATATTTCTGCCACTTACTTCCCTGCCTGAGAATTACAGTGAAAAGAAGAGTATGAAATGTTCATTTCAATCACTTGCTGAGCTCTGGGTAGAGTCTGCTGTTGCTGGAGGCTCTAATATTTTTTTCCTGAACATTTTTCTCTTGCAGGAATTCTCCGGGACTCTGACACATGCCAAGATCTCTGCAGGCAGGCTCTAATTGCACAGAAATTTGGGGGATCCTGGTACATAGGGAAGACCCACAGGTTGGGGGAGATACAGCCTTGGTGCTGGCTCTTCTCCTGGCGTGGGGCTGGGGGAGCCCAGGTGAAGCCCCTCTCCTGGGGAGGGGCCGGTGGTTGGGCTCAGGTGAAGGTGATAAAAGGAGGCTTTTTACCCAAAGGGCCTGGAAAGGTTTAGGTTTTGGGGCTGGAAAGTAGTACTGGCTCTGGGTGTGTTTAATAAAGGGCTGGAAAGGTTTAGGGGCTGGAAAGTAGTACTGGCTCTGGGTGTGTTTAATAAAGGGTAAGAGAATTTTAAAATCAAGTTTTAAAGGGTTCTTTGGGATTTTCACCCCCCTCCCCACATTTTCTTTGCCGCTACTTGCTGTCTCCAAGCTTCTCCTTGTGGCTGTGATAGCTAAAACTTGCTGGCTCTAAGCTTCTCCTTGTGGCTGTGATAGCTAAAATCCTTTCTGGCAGACAAAAGACATCTCCTGCTCCTGATTTCTTACCCTGAGGAGGTGGGGGGGTCTGGGAAACCACTAGGAGGAGATTGTAAACTGGGTTCAGACAGGATCCTGGGAGAGATCTCCTCATCCCCTGGAGAGGGATGGAGTTGGGGAAGAGTTTGGGGTAAAGGTGCTTTGTGTGACTGGATGAACAGATGTAAGGGCTTGAGGTTCATGTTGGTTGGGTTTTGCTCCGTTTCAGAATGGATGTGGACTTCATACATGGGTCACCTCCAGCCTGGACTGAAGAGAAGCAGCCCCTGTGCCGAAGTGGGGAAACCACAGCTGCCACCAGAGCAGGTAAGGGACCCCCCAACAGTGACCATTTTGTGTGTAACTGGTTCATCTCCTGCTCCCTCAGCTCCAAAGGGGACCACGTGTGTGTAGGCAAACAGAGTAAGGTTTGACTGTTCCTGAGGCACTTTTTCCTCCTTCTTCTTCCTCTACTGTAGTATTTTGTTGTCTCTTGAGCGATGGTTGGAACGCTTCAGAGCTATGTTTGAACCCCAGGGTGTTACTGAGCTGGCCAGCTGTGTCCCAGCTCCGTGAGGTGACATCCCATGGCTCTGCTGGTGCAGTGAGAGTGCAGGGCCCTTGCCTCATCCAGGAGGAAAAAGGGTTATTTCTTGCAGAGGCTCAAAACATCTGACAGCCCAGATTCGGGGCAGCAAACCCCAAATTCCATGCACCTGAATTCCCACCCTGCCACAGAGACGTGTGGGGTTTCCAGCTCAGCAGGGTAATAAAGCTTTTACTGGGATCCTCGTTCCCCAAGTGACCAGCTTTGATCTATCACTATTTTAGGGCTGACTGGGAAATACTTTTCAAAAAATTGTCGGTTTCCTTCTGATTGAGAAAGCTCCAGAACAAAGAGGCTTTGGGGAGAGTGAAAGAGCAGTGATTTGTCAGCCAGACCTTACCTGGGCACAGATCTTTGGGCTCTGATGGACACAACTCTGAGAAGCTCGGTGGGGGAAGGGAGGCTCACAGCTTGTCAGGCTTATGGTGTGAGTGTGCAAAAAGCAAATTTGCTGGTAATGGGGGGAAAAAAAATATATTTTCCAGGCAGCCTGAAAGCTACTTCTGGATTGACCCTTTGTCAGTAGCAGCTAAAGCCTAGGGCAGGTGAAGGAAGTGGTGGTAGCTCAGAGGCACAGCCGAGGTGTTTCAATAAACTGGTGTGTAAATCTCCATGTTCTTCTGGAGAAAAGATGTGTCGGTGCCCCAGGGCTCTGAGAGCACTCCATTGCCTTGGAATTATTGGTTTTTAATGGGAAATAGGTACAAATCTCAGAATGACTCAGCTAATGGAATTGACAAAAAGTTGCCTGTTGGTACCAGTGGGCTGGTAAATGCAAAGATCAGACAGATGGACCTTCTGTGCTGCTTCTGGAATGAAGCCAGAGTCAGTGTGAGCTGGGGTAGCGCAGCTTCTCGGTGGGGTAATCGTGCCTCAACCCTTGTAAGAATGCAGGAGCAGCCTAAAATACCTCCTAATTCTTTTGCTAAGAAGTCAGGCATCAGGATGTGCTTGCCTTGGTGTAAGACAAGTCGTGGCAGGCTGAGAGTCATCCCGCTGTCCAGGGGGAGTTACAGCCTGTAGAGAGGCTTAGAGTCTGTCAGTGAATGGAAGGAAGAAAGAGAGGGAGACCAGCAACAGCCCCACACCTTCCCTTCAGAATATGGGAAATGCTTGAGCTCTTTGTCACCAACATTGTGTTTAAAGCTCACAGTTTGCTAGATTAAGCAGGGTTGTTGCTGTGGGGAAATATTCTTATCTGTCTGAGGATCCACATCCTACCCCGTCATCTGTGCTGATTATTGTAACAGCAGTTTTGAGAAAACATGCTGAAATGCCTGGTGCTGAGTGGTGGTGTCTTTCCCAAGTCATCTCTGGTTGCTCTGGCTTGGCGTGGCTCTTGCTGCTCTGTCCTCTCTGCAGCTGTGAGTGTCACAGTGGTGTCACGCAGCCTGACCACAGCTGTCCTGGGGAAGTGTAGCTCTGGACTGGCCAAAAGCCTCATTCTCTTACCCGAGGGGGCCGGTCTCTTCTCTCAAGTCACAGGCGACAGGACAAGAGGAAACGGCCTCAAGTTACGCCAGGGGAGGTTCAGGCTGGATATTAGGAAAAATTTTTTCACTGAAAGGGTTCTCAGCCATTGGAATGGGCTGCCCAGGGAGGGGGTTGAGGCCCCATCCCTGGAGGTGTTCAAAAGCCGGGTTGATGTAGTGCTGGGAGGTCTGGTTTAGTGATGATGCTCCTTGTTTGTTGTGGGGGTGTCTATTTTTGTCAGTTAGGTTGACGGTTGGACAAGATGATCTTTAAGGTCCCTTCCAACCTAGAAGATTCTGTGATTCTGTGATTCTGAGGAAGTCAGGGCTTCACACTTCTATAACTGGGAATTGCAGTCTGCTAGGAAGCTGGACCTCTGCTCATGTCATAGCCTGGAGCAGAAAAGAGACGTTGAGAAGTGTGAAGGCTCTGGATCCAGCTTTGTCCTTGGAGCTCAGTGTCCTTTTCAGCAGGATACAAATGCTCTGTTAAGGGTTTGTGAGGACTGCAGTCATCTAAATCCCAGCACAGTCTGACTTGCAGCAGCAGCTCAGCTGGCTGCGTGGGACAGCGTGGGTGTTATTCAAGCTGGATACAGTGTGTGTGGATAAATATTGTAGCCCTGGTGCTGCCTTTCTTTTATTTTTTTTAATTAGGAGGTTAAGTTCAGGCAACTCTATCAGCAAACAGTTAATTGCATCTACATATAAACAGGAGCCTCTTGTCTACTCTTGATGGTACTGGACCTATATAAACTAATAAGAGCGTGTGTGGGTAAATATTGTAGCCCTAGTGCTGCCTTTCTTTCATTTTTTTTTAATTAGGAGGTTAAGTTCAGACAACTCTATCAGGAAATAGTTAATTGCATCTACATGTAAACAGGAGCCTCTTGTCTGCTCTTAATGGTACTGGACCTATATAAACTAATAAGAGATGTTTAATTAGTCTTAATGAAATACAGCATGAAATGTAATCAGATGCATCCCAACTTAATAGAACAGCCCTGTAATTGGGAAGTGCTGTGTTAAGATTAGGTCATTCCTGAGGAAGGCTGGAAGCAGCAGCTTCAGAACAATGAGAGGAGGGGGTGACAGAACTTTAAAAAAAAACAACCCAAAACCAACACCCCCACAAAACCCCCAAAGACAAAACCCCTGCATTTGCGAGGGGGGGTTGGCAGCAGTTCCCCAAGTGTTGCATAAAGAGAAGCAGCGACGCCTCCAAAGACAATACACAAAGCTCTGAGCAGCTGCTGGGGAGCTGCAGCCACACGCTCGCTCTGCAAACTCAGATTAACCAGTTGCCGAGTTATTTATTAACTGCTGGAGAGACTTAAGTTATTTAATTTTGAAAGTGTAGCCTTCAATAATACCAGGGGGAGTTGTAGCTTACACCTGTGTTGTAATCCCAGTGACATTTTTAGCTTCAATCAATTCCATGTTCTTGCCCTTACCTTGCTTTGGGTACACAAAACCAGTATTTGATAAAATTCCTAAAAATTGCTTATGGTACAGCTTTTTCCCCCCCTCCCCCCCATAAAACCCCCAAAGACAAAACCCCTGCATTTGCGAGGGGGGGTTGGCAGCAGTTCCCCAAGTGTTGCATAAAGAGAAGCAGCGACGCCTCCAAAGACAATACACAAAGCTCTGAGCAGCTGCTGGGGAGCTGCAGCCACACGCTCGCTCTGCAAACTCAGATTAACCAGTTGCCGAGTTATTTATTAACTGCTGGAGAGACTTAAGTTATTTAATTTTGAAAGTGTAGCCTTCAATAATACCAGGGGGAGTTGTAGCTTACACCTGTGTTGTAATCCCAGTGACATTTTTAGCTTCAATCAATTCCATGTTCTTGCCCTTACCTTGCTTTGGGTACACAAAACCAGTATTTGATAAAATTCCTAAAAATTGCTTATGGTACAGCTTTTTCCCCCCCTGTTAAAAAGCCTTGACACACTAATTATGGTGACATTCAGCAGGTTTGGCAACCAGCAAGTCCCTACTGCTGCCACCTGGGCTGCAGAAAGAGGCCAGGAAGAGACTGGAGCCTAGTTAGTTTAATGTACATAATATATATATATTATATATATGCATCTTGGGTAAAAGCATTTGTGAATTTTGTACCAAAGATGGCTTTTGAAGCCCGTGTCTTCTCTTTAATGACAATAAAGACAAATCTCCTTTCTTAATGTGTTAGGAATGTAAACTTAATTAGGAATTTAATAAAAAAATTAAAATACTACATCAGGGGTCCCCTGCAGCAGGGAAATGAGCACGTTACAAGGAAAGTCTGTGTTAATTTTGCATGTATTGACAAAAGTGCCACAAAAATTTGAAATTCTATTTGTCCCTTTGCAAATTGATATAAAAGCATCATACAGGAATCTATCCATACATAGCATGAGACTGTGACAGGTACGACATTTGTACATCCACTGAACCTCAGCTGATCCACTCATTCAGCCTGGAGCACTCAGGGGCAGCCTGATTTTTCTACTTTCCATTTTCAGCGCTGAACATTCGCTCCTAGAAAGAGAGAAGTGAACAAAGAGCAGCTGAGTAAAGAGTTTGGGAACTGTGCAGCAGTTCCAGAGCTGCAGTAGAAGAAGCAGAGCTACAGCAAAGCAGGTTTAAGTCACTAGAAAGTAGCTGTCAGTCAGCAAGAACAAGTGCCTCGATCGGTTACACTCCGTGTGTATTTTTTTTTTCCCCCCAAATTCAATTAATCATTTCAAAGACCCTCCATAAATGGACGGGAGACTTTCCCAGGGTCTGGTACTACTCAACACATCTCTCCTTGGTGCCTCCTCGTGCCAAGTACAAGGATGATTTATTTCCAGCTCACTCTGAGGATTATTTACGTGTCTTGTACCACTGCTGACAGCAAACGAGTTCAGAATTAGACTCAAGGGGCTGTTCACGTTGCCAGTAGCCTTGTCTTGAGCAGCTGCCAGTCTAAACACCGCCTTGGGCCTCGCACCGCAGGTGGGGCTGTGCATCTGACATGAATGCTTTCTTGAGATGCAGTGAAGTTTACCAAATTCCCTTAATTTAGGTGGGCAGTTTGCTACCAGCCTCTCCTAGATAACACCTAGATAAAAACCTGATGGGACTTGCTCCCAGGTCCCTAATCCTCAGCCATGCCACGAGGAACTGTGCTGTAGCTGCAGGATGTGGGGGAACGTGAGGGGTGGCAGGAGGCAGAGTGATATAACACCCACCTTCAACATCCTCTCCAGCTTAATTGCATCTGCAGCAAACTTTCGGATCCCATCAGATAGTTTCTCCACAGCCATTTGGTCCTCGTTATGGAGCCAGCGGAATGCCTTCTCATCCAGGTGGATCTTCTCAAGCGGACAGGCCTGAGCTGTGCAGGGGGAATTGAAAAAGAAACAAAGCCATATTAAACAGATCATTATCAAACACCACAGGCTTTCCTAAAACAGTCTCAGGGTTCTGAGCATCTCCAGCTGTTGAAAAATTTCAACCTTCACTTTTAACACGATTTATTACGGGAGCACACTTTTGGGGTGCAAGACTGAAAGTGCCCTTAGTCTGGTTTTTTGGGGGGGAAAGTAGCCTGGATAATTCGTTTCTCTGAAAACACAATGTTTATGTGTCTTCCATTATCTTGTATCTGCTTCCGAATGGTACGGTACTTCCAGGGCTATTCTCAAGACTTATGCAACAGTCCTACCGCAGCGAGACATCCTAAGCAAATATGGCAAACAATTAGGTCTTTGATGATTTGGCAGTGCCTAACAAAAGCTCGATTGAGAACAAGCCTCCAAGCAGCAGCCCATGGCTACAGCTGTGCACAAATCTCATTTTCTGAGCTGTAAAGTAGCATTTTAATAAGGCAACAGAAAAGCAAGAATAGTGCAATGGGAACAGATGTTTAAAACCATGGTGGCACAAGATCACTTAGATCAAGCAATTTAATTTGTGATTAATTTCTAGAGTTTCTGGAGGGAAACACACCCTTTGGCATGTCTGGAGCTAATTGCATCACTGATACAATATTAACATAAGATTAAACTAGGATTGGCATCTTTGCTAATATTCAGTATAACTTCATTCCAATCATGCAAAATGTAAAGCTCCTCCTTCTGCTCTCCCTGTGCTCTCAGGAGAGGGAGCACTGTATTTATGCACACTCATAGCTCATTGTGATTGCAATTAGTGACCTCAGTGGGCCCCCAATCACTAACAAAACCACTGTGTGTCAGCAGCTGTAGCTGCACCGTTTGTACCGAGGCTCCAGTGTTTCCTGTAGAGAGGGGTGAGGAATTCCCCTTAGAGCAGGAGGGAAGCAAGAACCCCCGAGCTGTGGGGAACCACACCATTGAAGAACAGGAGGCTGAGGAAGCCCGTGTCACACAGAAGGGGACTTACCCTCCTTTATACTGAGCGTGGGGGTTAACTTGACGTGCTCTTTGCTGAGCTCTGCCAAAAGCTTGGGTGAAATGGTGAGATAGTCACAGCCTGTGAGCGCTTTTATTTCTCCCGTGTTTCGAAACGAAGCACCCATCACGATGGTTTTGTAGCCAAACTTCTTGTAATAGTTATAGATCTTAGTGACGCTCTTCACTCCTAAAAAGGAGAGATCAGCAGAAGATCTTCTTTCAGAAGAATTCGTTTGAAGTACAAATGGTTATTTAGAACGTGCTCAAAATGAATGTGGTTTTTTTTCATGAGAGGATTTATCTGAGTAAACGGCAGTTTGAACGAGTAGCTATTGTACTTTTAACAATATGTTAAAAGGAGAGTTTTACCTGGATCTTCTGAAGGCTCGTAGGTTTTCTTATCTCCATTTGCAACGTACCAATCCAGGATACGTCCTACGAAGGGGGAAATGAGAGTGACTCCAGCTTCGGCGCAGGCAACGGCCTGGGCGAAGGAGAACAGCAGGGTCATGTTGCAGTGAATCCCGTACTCTGCTTCCAGCACCCTGCAGACACAGCCTGGCTTGAGACAGCACTTTGCTCCCCTACTCCATTCACAGTCTAGTTACAAGGCAGTGAGTTAGAACTACTGCATTTCTCGAGTTTAATTAGGAATGTGGTACAGTTTATAAGCTTTTGCATTTTAAGCTAACAGCAAATGTTTTGCGCTTCCAGACTTTGCTTTATTTAACGCTGTTCCCTGAACCAAATGGCCAGACTTTATTTAACGCTGTTCCCTGAACCAAATGCAGACAGTTTCGCCTGATATTTCAGGAAACTCTTGCTTGTGGCCTGGCTTTGTATGAACAAACTTTTCCTGTTTCATCAGAAAGCTGTAGCAGAGCACCCGGCTCAGTAGCTGGAGCCCGAGGAACAGGTCTCCTGGTGCCGTGCTTTCAAAACAGCTCTGTATTGCGAGCGCAGAATGAGTTTGTCAGGTGCCTGCAAACAGGCAGAAGCGTGCTGTGAATCAGCAAATCACACACCAGGGACACAAAGACTTACTTGCCAGCCTGGATTCCTTCCCATGTTGATGAGAGCTTGATGAGAATACGATCTTTACCAATTCCTGCTTCCTTATAAAGGTCAATGAGGCGCCTGGCCCGTTGAATCATTCCTTCCTTATCAAAGGACAACCTTTGAAACAAGAGCAGAATTGCTTAGAATTGACTGGGTTGGTTTTTTGTTGTTTTTTTTTAAATACTCTACCCCCACAAATCACATTGAAAAACACTGTTTTATCAGCATTTATATGACAACGGCAGGTTTTTGTTCTCAGAGATACTTCCTGGATCGCAAGCCCATCAACAAGGTGTGACTGACTCAGAGGATCCAGAGCTCAAGACAGCTTTCCTTGAAAAAGTTATAGATTAAAGTTTTCCTCAAGTTTTTCATAACGAATGCAGAAGCCGAACACGAGAAGTGAATTGGGAAGGAGCAGGTTAACAGCTGAATCCTATGCAGGTCTTCAAATAAACTGTTCAGATTTCTTGGTAAATGGAGAAGACAAGATTCTCAAACAGAAGACAACGAGCAAAACTCTTAACTCTGCTGGAAACGTGAGGTTTCTCTTGCTTAAGCAACAAGAGGAAGATGACAAAAATCCAAGCTCGGTATTACTTGTTTTTATAAAGTTTTGTCACCAAGTTAAGTTATAATCAAGCAAACTAAGTAAAATCCATGTTCTAATTAAACATATTAACTTCTGATAGCCCTAAAGCAGTGAGCTGTCTAGTCAAGAGCACCTTCCTCCAACTCCCATGATGTCTCTTTCTGTAGGTACAAATATCCAGGGTAACCCAGAGGAAGAAGAGCCAACCTTGCATCTACTTCTGTGGACACGCGGCCCGGTATCCTCTTCAGGATTTCAGCTCCAAATAAGACAAAAAGTTTGTCACAAGCGTTTTTGATCTGTTCCTCTTCTGACCTGAAAAACATAAAGAACAAAATAGTTTCTATGGGAGGAAAAAAAAACAAAACAAAAAGTGCCTTCACACCTTGGCATGGATTTGAAGATCAAATTTCACAGCTCATTTAACATTAAATTCCAGAGTTCAAGTAGGCACTTCTGCTCTGCTCTGTGTTTATGTTCTGCCCTAGGTGTTCCACCAGCACTATTAGCCTTTGGATACTGTTTCCTAAAATGTTGTTGACTCAAGAGTGTTTCCTGAGCAGGAAACCAGTAGCAGATGTATTTCTTTAAGGGTTGAGGCTTTTTGGGGCAGGAGATACACCCACAGATACACGCGGGGAAAACCTCAGTACGTTGCTAGTAGTACTAAATACTATTTATATAAATAAGGCATCTTAAATAGAGATCTACCGAGATTAAAAAACCCTCCTTCCTTACCCGCCCAGTTTTTTTCCATAGGCAACAGCATCGTCCACCAGCTCCTGGTAGGCTGGCATCTGGGCAGCAGCCAGGATGAGAGACGGGTTGGTGGTGGCATCCAGGGGCTTGTACTCATCGATTGCTGAGGAAATAAAACCAGCCCACGTAAAACAGCAAGCAGGCCTGAGCCACTGCAAGGATTTGGATCAAATAGGTGGGAAGAGGAAC